CACTCCTCATACAACAGGGAAGGTTTGGCCTTTTTTTAGAATATAGTGCTTCTAGGACCTCTTTTCAAGCAGCATATCAAGATGCTTTCCCAGAATGTGGGAACGAATTTCGACAGTCCAATCCTAGCAGTTTCTCAGACTTGCAACTACCCACTAAGTGCACAGTCTCCAGCGCATGCCTCTAAAATTTGTAAGCTTCAAAAGAGTGGTAGAGGTAGGAATTAAAGATAACAGTAGTAAGAAGACACATTACAGAAATCCCTACATTGAATGAGCAGAAACTACAGAACAAGATTAGTGACCAAAGATTTAAAAGACTGAAGCAAAGAATCAGCTCACACTGAAGTTTGGATTGGCCTTAATTTATTGAAAAGTTTCAGAGAGTTGCAGAAGGCTGCTGATATATGGTATTCCTTACGATTCAAATTAATTGGAGTTTTGCTAGAGACTTTGGCAAGCACAAGTTTGACAAACTCTTTTAGTACTGCACTCAGGAGTTAAAAGCAACTTCTCTGCTTGTTAAACATGTGCATCTGTAGGCAATAACGGCAAGTAATTCACTCAGTTTTACCAGTTTAGGATAGGAGCTACAGCGACACAATAGGGGCGCTTCTGCAAAGCTCTAAACCAGTGCAGAATCACGTGAAGCGCTTGCCCGAGTGGGAGGGACAGTCACTTCGCGGCGTGACCCTCTCCTTTACCCATTTACAGAACACACAGGAGAGCTGAAGGGTGCTCACAGGCAACTGCTGACAGCGCTAGAGCTTAACAGGGTGATGTTTCAACAGTACATTTGCAAGTTAGCAACTTTGTGTAATCCAAGGAGTGCCAAAAGCCATGGGGAGCTGAGGGGTGGGGGTGAAGGCAAGGGGAAATTAAAAGCCAGTCTGCTTCAGAAACATGCTTGCTGAGGTTACGTGGAGATCTCACTAGCCAGCAAACCATCCCAGAGAGTTTTCCAAAAATTTTCCAAGTAATTCAAAGCTGACTTGATCATGCTATACATACTTAATCCAACTTCAAACCTCACCTTTTATATAGGCTTGCCCTCCCCTCAAATGGTGGGGATTGGCAGTAAATGCTGCTCTGAACTAAACCTGTAGCCTGGTTTTCTGCACAAAACCTCTTTGATCCAACCCTCCTTCTCTTATTGCATTGTTGTCTCCTTCCCAGTTCAGAGTCAAACTCTCATTTCAGTTTGGAAATGAACACTAACTTGCAGGCTGAATGGAATCCTTATGGGCTGTATCTCAAACTCTAAAGGTGTTTTTAGTTTAGCTGTGTTTTTTAAACCTGTGCTTGCTGATTAATCAGAAGCTGCTTGTGAATCCTTTTCAAGGAGGACCTGGCACCCTATTTAAAAACCCCTGGACTCGGTCCAAGCAGTTAGCTGTTTTTCCTAGGCTTCCCTATTCAATCCAGAGCATCAGATATGTATTTTCAGAACTTGTTTCTCCACCTTGCTGGGTTTTACAGTGTATAACTTCACTAAATCACAGAATCAGAGAATGTTGGGGGTTCGAAGGGGCCTCGAAAGATCATCTAGTCCACCTCCCCTAAGATTTGTCAGAAACAACAGCCCCTGGTTTTGCCGCTGTGCCTTTCAAAGCAGTTAGAAAACTGGAGCTATAAAACCAGATCCCTTACACTCCATGCAGAACAGATTTCTGCAAATACTCCTGTAGCCACTAGGACACTCGCTGCAGAGAGATCAAGGCTTGCGACCACGAACTATTCAAAATACCTGTATTCTGTGAAATTGGATGCTCAAATGTACAAGAGTGGTTACTCCGCAGTGTGCATCTGTGCCTTCTCCTTTGGAGTAAGAGAAAGCTGACAGGATCTAATTTTGAGGCTCTTGTTTTCTATGGAGAAAAAAAAAGATACAAATAAAAAATGGAGCAACATACTTAGGTAGCAAGGGTGGGCATGTCCAGGCCCAGTTCAAATCTCACAAAGATTTGAGCCTTCAACTGTAGCATCACAGATGTAAACATCTCTGGAACTGAGCCTTAGTCAGTGGAAGCTCCTTTAGCTTTCGAGATCGACTCTGAAAATCTCAACAAATAACGGTACTACTATTCTGAAGTGAGGTTACTTCCTTCAACATCTGTGGTGAATATGTGATAGAGGCTGCTGCAAGCATCACACATTTTTAAAACTAACAGGAGATGTTAAGACTTGGTCCAGCCACATTGTGGTCATTAAGAGGAGGGAGCTACACAAATGCTTCATGAGATACATATGCTGTACTAGGGGTACTAAGGGCTTAGTCTGTTCTGATAAATCTCCCATCCTGTCCGGGTTTTCGAGAAATAACAAAAAACACTTTCCAAAATATAAAGTATAAATACCTTTTAGCACAGTTTACAATGATGAGATATTTGCCTTCTGCTTAGCTGATGGCATTTAAACTGATCTCTACCCTTGCCTACTGCACAAAGAAAAAAAAAATCAATAAAATATCTGGTAACATTTATTACATTATTTCTAAAGGCTCATTAAAACAATGACACTTCCTTATTATGGAATATGTTAGTATCATTGTCAAAACATTGCTCTCTACAGGTGGAATGTGTTTTCAGATTTTTTTAAAAATAAAAATTGAGAACAGTATTTTTTTCAGTCACAAAAGCCTACTTTTCTGAATGAACCAGAGGCATTATTATTTGTTTTTATTAACACATACAAAATTATTAGGGTATACAAATGTGTTTCCTGTTTGGACACAGTGAAAGCTAAATTAATGGGCATTACAGCATTAGTTTACATCACACTTTGTCTCAAAAAAACCCATGGTTTATGATTAAACAAATAGGTTATATATATATATATAAAACCTATATATATATATAAAAGAGCTTGAAATAGCTGGATAACAAATAATTGATTTCTACTATCAAAAGGCTGGGAGCAATTATGTCTCCTGTGATTGTGCCCTTAGCTTTCCAAACATGATATCCACTGATATGAGTTCCCATTCAAAAAAAATCCCCCAAACCAAAACAAACTCAACAACAAACCACACCACCCAACTTTCCCGAAAAAACCCAGAATACCAACTCCCCTCAAAACACAAAACTTCAAAGCAATGGCACAACTTTCCCCAGGCTAATAATTTTTCCTGACAGCTTCAAGCACAAATGGATTATTTTAAATACAACATAAACCTACTGTAAATTAAAAAAATAGAGGACTACTTTACACAACGCATGAAACTATTTCTAGTGAGCACAAACATTTACAACTGTGTCATGTTTTTTCCTTGCATAACCCATACTCACGCACAAAACAGTTTTCAAAAGAATTAGTGAAATACTCAGTCCACTTTTGTTTCTTTTATACAACATGAAATGGTTACAATACCATACTATTTTTTAGAATAAGTTAAACATCAAGACATATGGCAATAGCATTGTACTATTCTTTCTACATACATATGATATCCAGAAATTCAGTCTTTTTATTCAGTCACAAAAATGAATGAAGACTAAGATCCAGTTATACTGGAAAACTAGGCTAGTTCTAGAAACCACAAATACTGTAAAGCGCTTTGGTATAATATGTACAGATTGTGCTGTTAATACCATGCTTGCAGACTAGAATTGATCAGCAGAGTTCAACCAGTGAGTTAAAGTAAAAAAAAAAGAAAAAAAAAAAAGTACCATAAGACTCGCTTTCTTATTTTTTTTTGGAAATGACTCAGTCAAAAAAGATGCACCACAAGTGCACACATAACATTTGTATGATGTGACTACAAATTAAATATTAAAGTGTTTTTTTAATAAAATGCATGACCAGCCTTCTTAAGTGCACAGAACATAACGCAGAATACTGTTAATTACAGGGACAATACAAAGATATTAAACACTTGAACAGTTACTGAACAATGTTCTGAGAAAAAAGAGAAAGGTGTGAATGAGAGTAAGCATTCTTCTATCATTACAAAGATCAACATGTTTCTTCCCTCAGTGATAAGATAAAACAGTAAACTGCTGAATCGTGAAAGGTATCTACTGCATCCATTTTATCTTAAAGGCTTAGAGTTGCACCTTCAAACTCTTAAGCATATTAAGGATATTTGGTTGGGGATTTTTTTCTCCTTTCCCCCCCCCCCTTTTCTATTTTTAACAAATCTTTTCTCTTCCTGAAAGAGGAACTTAAAAAGTGCATTTTAAATTAAAGACTTTACTTTCCCCCCTTGTTTTACAGATGCACTTGCTGTGGTTTAGAAATTTTAGCTTAACCTATTAATTCTTTCTATCACTACCACTTACAACTTACAATGTCTCAGATTTATTCAGGCAACCCTGCCACGTTAGGTAGCCCCTCTTGCAAAGCAAATGGTATTAGATTCTAGGAAAGCCAAAATACTGCAATCTTTATTCAGACGAAATGCCAACTTAAAGGACTGCAGGATTTTCAGAAGATTTGGGCTGTATGCAAAATCTTCCTAAACTTGGAAGTTTTATCTTTTGGATTTTGGGATACAGTAAACGAGAAATACCACGTTCAACTAATACTGCAAGTCAGCTTCAGACTATGGTCTCAGGAACACAATGGTAGCCCCAAAACTCTCAACCCAACCAGAGGAAACTTACCCCAATCATTACTCACTTCTTACATGACACAACAACTCATCTAACATGTAAACACAAAGGATGATGGTTCTCATTTGAAGCTCCTATTGCTGGCAAGTAATACTTCACAGGTATCAGAAATACTTTAGTTAATGTCGCCATATTTTCCCCATTTCTAAGACGCTTTCTTCTCCATACAGAAGCTTTAGCTATTTAACATCAAACCAAAGGATTGCACAAAAGCTACAGCATCAAGCTTTGCTAAATAAAACTGCATGAGAGCACACGTAGGAGAAAAGAATTTGACTGTGGTTGTTGAGTGGACTAGAAGTCAAATGAGTTTAAATAAAACTAATGTTAACACATTCCTTAATTGAAATGATTAATTCTTAGCAGAAATAAATTAAGATCAGCATGACCTTACTGTAGGCTAGTAGGTGACCCAGCCAGACTTTTGTGCAGATTAGGGTTTTGACTGTGCCTGTTCCGACTGCGAACAGATGAAAACATTGTGTTGCAACCTGGGACTTTGCATTTGTGGAGCTGGCGGAGATGCACAGTTTTGTAATGAGCCCTGAAAGTTCCTTTATTACTGTAAGTTTTTTGACATATGTGACAAGTTATTGGCAAACTGGAAGGCAAATTTGCAAAGTTTTGATTAGCTTTCTCAATTAAAGTACAGTCTTGGTAGAGTTCATCATTAGGCATTAGGCTGGGTCCTTCACAGCTTTCATCACTATCATCCAAGGGCATGGTGCATATTTCACTTCCTCCATCAGAATCCCAAGAAGAATGAGCACTGCTCTCAGACTTAATGCTGGAAGTAGTGCTTAGATCCAGAACGGCTCCATCATTCAACGGATCGTATCCGTAACTCTCAGAACAGGGTTCTCTAATTTTGCTCACTGGAAAAACCAAGCTGCCTGTTCTGTTCATTCCTTTGAAGATTACAGAAGTATGTTCGACATGTTGTTTTAAAGAGACATCTTGACAAAACTCCTTAGCCATGTCTTTCAAGAGGTATGTTGCATTGAAATGGTTGTTGAATTCCAGTGTATCTTTAGTCAGAAGCTTATGATGAAGATTTAGGTTTGAACTATGTCTAGAAGAACAAAGACAAGCTTAGCAAGAAAGTGTTTTGCGGCTCACTTAACAGCTGTTTCATAATGATCATTAAGAAAGAAAAAAATAATCAGCATTTAGTAGCATGCATGACCTGTATACCTCTAATTTGACCAACTGCCACACTGAGAGTGCACACGGATGACTTACACATGTGACTGCATATCTGAACTTACTTGGACTGGCATGTATCTGGAATAATGCTACAAAAATCAATGCTTCAGATTCTCTCCTGCGTTGTGGATAGCCATCTGCTTCACTAGATATACCGCTGGGCCTGAACAAGTTGGGGGACAGACTAAAAACCTGCCTACTGAGCTGAGATAGGAGAATGGACTGAGGGCAGGAAGAAATAAGATTCTTTCCAATGGGAAAAGCAGGAAAGGAGCGACAAAAAATATCGATGATCTCAAGTACTGTAACCATGTGCCAGGATGCAGCTGTACACATCAGAGCTTTTCCTTGACAGGACTTTCTTTGAAAAAGCAATATTGCATTTTATGCAACTTGCATAAATTTTGAATGGGCATCTCTGGATTCTGGTTAATACAACCAAAACATACAAAATCACTGCTCCCCACTCAATACTATCAAGCAGCTCACTGGGAATTTCCAGGCTCTGCCTGGAAATTGCTAGACAGGGAAAACATTCATTTTTCCCCATGGTTTAATCCAAACCATGAACTGTTCAAGAGGGCACAGAAATATTTTGCACTTGCAGTCACAGCCCTCCACACTAAAGTCTAGAAACTTCTGCAAAGTTATTCCAAATAACTACTGTTTTGTTCAAAGCTTGCGAACTCTCTTGTGAGTTGGGTTTCTTTTAAAAAATATTTCAAAAATAAACCATCTTGCAAAAGCACCTATATTAAAACCTAACTGAATATATTGGTGTGGGAAGGAATTCATGGCATGTGAATGCAAATCTTACTGCTGGCCTTCTTTCCTGTGGCCCATATCATAATTACAGTGGAGAGGAATTCACATCTGGGAAGATGCAGGCAGCGGATCAGGGTATGAAGCCCTGCCAGCAGCAGATGAATCTGTGCATCTCAGATGCAGCGGCCAGTCCTCAGAGACCAGCTCATCCTCTCTCTGGACTGCATCAGCTGGCTCCAGTACTCCTCGCAGATTACAGACAATCTAAACCTTGTGTCATGCTGAACTACTCTCCAGGCATGCCTCCTGCAGCCCAGAGCTGCCATGACACTGTTGCAGGAGAGTTAGAAAACTTACAAGACTGAGTCGCACTTTAACAGGTTTGTTATCTGTCACTTAGAAATTCAGATACATAACTGACGGTCAACACTAAAGCTTCAGTTGTTTCTCAGACTACGTGCATAACAGGCCGAAATAAAACGATTTACAGCAGGACAGCACTGCAGCTAACAGTAAACTGAATCAAGCTCATGATACAGTTTAGGAATTAGCATGTAATCTCATGTAAAAGCGCTACCGATGTGGATACGTACCAGATAGCATGAGTTCGACTAGCACTGTGAAATGTTAATTTCATACTGACATGGAGTAATCCTGCTATTCTTTTGGGCTTTTTCCCACCGGTCTGTACAAAATCCTTGAGTAAAGGAAGGACAAGGGCAAGCGAAGACTTCCCGAATTGATCTCATTGCTTTTTCATTAAAGAACACCGTATACATTAAAATACACATGGAAGTACATATTAAACATATAAGTCCAGGCATGCATCTACCAGAAAATTGCTGAATTCATACCCTTGTGGCTTTCCCTTTATGTTCTAAAGTATTCTTTCAACTATTGCAGTCTTTATCAGTTATGAAATTTTCATGGCTTTATTTAATACCTTCCAGTCTAGTGGAAAGGAAATGTTTCTTTCAATGGATTTTCATTTCATGAATGTCCTGATAAGTTATCGTACCTGTTATACGAGGATACACAGAAAATCTTTGCAGGCTCCATTCCTCAAACACTCATTTTAATTTCAAATTAGGTTCCATTGTGATGGTAAAATAAATACAATTTTGTTTATAATTTTCTTACCTGTCTCGACTTCTACGAGAAGGGAAAGCAGCATTACAGCCCTCAACTGTGCAAATATGCATTTCTTTGAGATGTACATTTTTAAAATGCATTTTTACACTGTAAGGGTTTTTAAAAGTCTTCTTACAGATGTCACAATGAAAGCGGCTTTCTTCCTTCTGAATCCCTAGTGCATGTTGACTGACATGATCCATATCTTTAGAGTCTTCAAAACAAGGAATGGCAGCACCCCTGTTTGACAAAGTGCTGAAAAAGCCCCCAGTCAGCAAGTGGTGTTGCAATTCAGGGCAGTCATTTTTAGGAATCCTGTGCTTTGACTGCTCTTTAATATACATGGGGGCTTCAGTCATTGGTTTTATAACATCATTGTGGTGGTGTTTTTGATCTTCATACATAATCTCATGGGAAACTATTTTTAATGGTTGGTTTTCTTCTGGTTTAACCTCTTTCTCACAGTGATGCAATTCATTCTCAGAGATATCCTTGATGTATTTGTTATTTGGCGCAACGACAGATTCAAAATACTTTGGGCCCTCTACCCCAGAGACAGATTTCCACGAATTACCTGAATGGGGGTGCTTTTCCACCCTGTCGATCAACCGCTTCTCTACCTTATGCTCACAGGTCTCAAGCTCTCCATCGCTTACCACTTGCAGACGTGTATCATCTTCAGAACTGGCAACATCACTACTTTCATTAGGTGCCTCAACAGCTTCTTTCTCTATCTTAATGGGCATGCTTGATTTACGAGATTTCTTCTTGGGTAGCATGTCAAACGGCAATTCATTTGAAATAAGCTGCTCTGGTATTGAGGAAGAAACAAGAGGCAGAGAAGGAAGAGTACCTGGAGTATTGGCAAGCTCAGCTGGTGTGACTGGACTACGATAAAAAGGAAGCACAGGCTGAACCGTCTTCAGGTTTGGAAAGAGGACACCGTTCTGTCCAATACTGGGGAATCCAGCCTGACCTTTGGAATCTGTACAGGAGCTGGCATAGCTGGTGATACTTCTGCTATCCGGAGCCAAAATTGTAAATTCTGTCCTTTTACTGTCTCCAGGTCCAGCAATGGTCAGACCACTTCTTAGATCTTTATCCCTGTTATTTCTATTCATGGGCATATGGAGTCTGGGGTTGGGATTTGCACTATGACGATTCCGGCTACGCAAAGAGCTAAACACCATATTGCAGCCCTCAATTGTGCATTTGTGCTTTATCTTCAGATGAACAGCATTGTAATGTATTTTCAAAGTACCTTTGTCATAAAATGTCTTTTCACATGCTGTGCAGAAAACACGCCCTTTCCTTGGCCCAGTGCCATTTTTTTCAACAGATTTAATTTTGTTTTCTGGAGACAGTGCTGTCATTTCAAGCTTTGCTGCTGTATTATGTGAACTGGAGTCACTTAAAAGGGCATCATCTTCTGTTTTAGTGGTGACATCTAGACCATTTATGCTCCTCTCATGCTCAACTTGAAATGGTGCAGAACTAGAAGTTAAGAAGCTGCTTTCAGAAAATGGTATCGGAACGCCCTGTTTAGTTTCATTGCTATAGTCTTGACTTTGCTCAATCAAATGTCTTTCTGGTGTTGAACCTATCAAAGGTGGAGGCACTGGACTGAAAAACTGGAACGGCAGCATGAAAGCCATGTTATTTACAATATTCTCAAAGGGATGAATGTTGGTGGGACTCATTTTGTCCAAGGAAGCTGAAAAATTAGGACTGTGTTGATTGCAGCTCTCAATGAATGCCCTAATATCCAAATTGGCAGTTGGTGGTGGTATTATAATCGATTGCCCCTCTTTCTCTTGAATTGCCATTAGCTCTACAATGGACTTAGTTTCTCCAAAACGAAGAAACTGCTGCAAAGTAGCCAGTTCTTCTTCAGTGGTCATGATGCTCCAGTGATCCAGCACCTTTCCTGAAGCATCCTAAAGCCAAAAATATTTAAAAGAAATCAGACACTAGTGGAGACAAAGGAAAAAAAATCCCCTCCCCAGAATCTCTCATTTTTTCAGGGACAAAAATTCTTCTCTAGCAAAATGATAAAATCATTCTATTTAATGAGAGATTAATGCCAATTCTCTGATGCTTTCTTCCAAATTTTACCACATCGGTGATATTATTTCCCTCTGAACTGACAGTAATACTTTCCAATAAACAGGGATTTTTCCCACAAAAATTAAGACATGTCATTTGAACAACAGTTAGTACCACGTAAGTGCAGACAGTAGAGATGGAGCAATCAGACCAAGATTTAGCTCCTCATTTAAGTCAAGTATTCTTTCATTGCAAGTTTAATAATCTTCCAAGCAACTAAGATCAGAGAACAAATGAACCTGTATTGATCTATTGCCAGTGTTCACAGAGCACAGCTGTAATTACACTAGAGTGTTGGAGTTCTTTCAAACTCTAGCTATGCCTAACTTTTCCCAATAACTACAATAAATATTTTATCACAGAACATGTATTTGATGGCCTACTGAGATTTTTCACAGTGCATGTAAGAGTTTCTAAGATGATGAAGAACGTAACATTATAAATTTTTCATGTGGTAGAGGTTCAAGGTAATTGATTCCATATTTTTAATCCTAACACTAAAAAGCAAGATTATCAAGACCATTAAATATTGATTTGTGTCATAATGTAAGATCATAATGTTACTTTACATAAAAGGTAACTTCCACAGTAGCAAGGACTAACATTGGTGTAAGCACATAGGGCCAAATTCATCCTTGATGTAGCTCCAGCAAGGTCAGTAGCACTACACCAGAGATGAATATTGTCCCTGGTGTTTAAAATGATGGCAAGTTTATTTATCAATATATTATTATGTTGTGTAAGTGTAAACTCACTGTTTAAATAATACTAGAGTATATTTTGAAGCTTCTACTTTGATACATTCCCAGTAACATTTTATCTTGGCTTACTTTGTTGAAAGACTTTAAAAAGAGAGCAACGACCAAAAATCCACCCTTTCTTTCGTGACACTAACCTTGTACACAACTATTACTGCCTTTCAGTGGTACCACACTGCTAACTCATCGTGAACCACTGATAAGACTAAGCTAGAAAGGATTATGAAATACTACTTAGCTATCATATTTACATTAAAAAAGCCCCTCTAAATACCTGTAGCACATATCCACGTATATAATCCTGTAGTGTCCAGTCCAGAGCATGGAGAATCTGTACCACCTCTTCCTGCTTCAGAACACTGAAAAGTCGATCTAGCAGAATTTTAAGGCGCACGGGAATGGCTTGGGTTCCATACAACATGAGGCTACTGATATCAAAGACAACATTGGATTGAACTATTTCTACCTGGCTTGATGGGTAGAGGTTGGGAATCCTTAATTTGCTCAGGGCTGAAAATAAAAATCACAAAATGTAAATAAACTTGAGTCAGAAGAGACAGATAAAATTGAACGTAACTAATATTGGGGTGCATGGCGGGGGTGTGTGTAAGGAGTGACACAAAAAGCATGCTACAGTGAGTAGGATCTTAAAAGGCTTTACATAGATTGTAAGAACAAATATTACCATGTGCTACCCATCCATGCCGGCACTGGTCACATTGTCGCTGATTTATTTTCCCAGGTTTGAAACACTGACAACTACAGTTCACGAGAGTGCATCGGATAGCCTGGAAACCAACAGAAAGTGTGATAGGTAAGAATGATAAGGACCATCTAGAGTGTGCAGTTTATACATATACAACACACCCATGAAATCCATATGAAGGCAGAGTTAGCATATCCTCAGTGTGCAATATAAGTAATTCAGGCAAAACCCCAAGTTACACAAGACTACCTCTGCTTTAAAGAGAATTGGTCACCAGCTGGAACACTAGAATGTTATGGAAGTGTTCAAAATAGTTAAAGACATACATAGTAACTCTTCAGTGGATTTATTTAGGCTGAAACATCTTTGTAAGAATAATAATGTATTCTTGAGCATTCATATAAGCTATGATATTCAGGTAAGATCACTTTGTTTCAGGAAGTTCTGGAAACAAAGACATACGGGTGAAGATTCCCCTCTCTTGAAGTTTTGCTGGAACTCCACACTGCAGTGTAGGAAGTTCTAACGAGCAATGCCTTAGCTTTGCACAACTGCCATCCCTTACGTACAGCAGGAGCCACACAGAATATATGTATCCTGTCAAAGACAGAGGAGTTCCCTAACCCTTTTCAGTAACAAAGCTCACCAAAAAGCACTCCAGCTCCTCCAAGACTATAGGAATCACATTCTGCAAGGGAAATGCTTGAAAGATAAAGGGCAAAATAGAGTATGCAAGCAGAGAGCAACCAGTTGCACAGTTCAATTTGTGCATCACTTTACTCTCACCAAGGTCATCCATAATGCAAATCAAATTAGTATTCAGATATGTCTAATCAACAGGGTAATACAAACTTGCTTCCTGGAATACATGCTTTCTTCTGTAGGTGCCCATCTGCTGCAGAACGCAGACAGACAACTCTGAGGTCCTAGTTAAAGCTCCACAGGGACTGCCGTAGAGCAAAACATTTGTAGGAGTCCGTACTGCTTGGATCTGATACTGAGAATAGTTCCTGTATAAATGGAATATTTATTAAGGGAGAGAAAGTGAAGAAATTAGTGTGCAGAAAGTCTGCACTGGAATAATAAAATTAAAAAAAAGTTAGATTATGCAAGTGTAACGTGCCTGCATTTTTCTGCTTTTAAAATAAAATGTTTTACATTTTAAAGTACAGAGAAGCAAATACTAAATAAGGCAAAGTTATGCCCACTACAGGCTGCTACTCCTGCTCCTAGAGTTTTATGCAAAAAGGGACTTTCACTACTCATGAATACTCATAGAAACACAAGACAGGACTTGAAGAAAAAAATCACATCTTTTCAATGCAGGCATCCCCACACTGGTGCTTTTGGAAAACATACAAAGAAGCAAGTTTTTGACCAATCAGGCTAAGAAAGATGGATGCAGAAAATGTTTAAAATGAAACGGACAGGACAGAAAGGTAATTTTGCTGGGGTTTGCAATGAGTCTTTCTTTAGGATTCAAGAACTTGAGTCACTTGGGGCAGAAGAGGACACTCCATATAGCAGTGTACTACAAGCAAGCACGTGCAGGACATGCGGCTGCCTTTTGCTTTCCGTGACTGGATTTGGACCGAGGAGCTGGCTGATCCAGCAGTCAGCTTACACACACATCTCCAAACAGCAGTGACTTGATGCTGCGATTCACCTTTACCTGAAGGATTGGAACAAGTGGCAACAGGGCTACTGAAATCTCTGAATCTCTTTGCCTTTAATCTTTTAAAGGAGCCATTACAAAATACCAAATTCTTGAGAAAAGCTCTGTGCTCCATATAAAGTCATAAAATACACATCAATTACACATCAGTACTCCAGGCAGCGTGAATTGCTTCACTTTAATGGAGGATATATTTTCACTATCATGTAACAATAACAAGCCACAAATTTCTTAGGGAAAAGTTAGGAAAAAAGGTGTAGTTGGCTGCTGATTAATTTCTAACACAAGAGATCAAACAATAACACAGTTCAAGTCTTCTGCCTCTGTACATATGTAATATTCCGTGACTTGCACAGACTGAGCCCCTTCCCATACACGACTTTGCTAGGTTCGGTAAGCTACAGTGCATTCCATGAGGGCATCTTTTGCAGTCCCTCCAGACAAAATTACAAGAGTACTTCCTTTTTCTGCAAGAAGTAACAGAAATACACACACTGAAAAAAGCTGTCATGATGATAAGTTAATCGAGTTTCCAAAATTTTTTTAATTCCTTTTCCTTTGGACATTTTCCACAAACCACTGACCTCTACAGATCTTTTTCCTTCTTAATGTGTGTACTTAGGCAAGAACGACATACAGCACAAAATTTTGCATTTCATGGTTTTGTGTAAGATCTTTCTTCTATAGGGTACTTGTGTTTATTTTGTCTTCCTCTGTAGAGGACAGCTCATGCAAAAACTGGAAAAAGTACAAAGAAGGACATTTTGGTTTACATATATAAAAGTAGCTATTAGAAAGGGAGTAGAGTTCCCCTTCTACTCTAAATATGGAACTGATCCCCTCTGAAGTCAATACATCACTGCTTCTGGAAACCTGACTTACATGTAGTTAGCTTCCCTACTGTTAACAAATCAAAGATATATCCATAAATCAGAGATGTGTTGCTGACTTGAAAAATTACTTGTACGAATTCCTGAGAAGAAGTAAGTGTGGTTTTCAGGTGGGCAGCACTTGCCTTCATTTGTGCTCGTCAGAGTCTGTGGCTCCTAAATCTTTTCTAGCAATATTTGTGTTAATATAGTCACAGGGAATATATAAAATGGCAAAATTAACTTTTAAAATAATCAGTGACTCACGATTTTCAGTCTTCATTCATTGTTCAACTTAAGAAGGCACTTGTAAAAGATGCACTTTGATTATCTCCCAAATTAACTTATATCGGAGTTCAATGAAGAGAAACTTAGCAAAACTTGATCAAATTAATATGCTTGTCTTTTGCTTGTTAATCCTACTATCCTTAATATGCCTATTCTAAGGTATTGTAATTATATCAAGTCTTTTAGTGAGCTTTATTTTCCCAACAAGTAGAATGTACACCCAATTTTAATTCTACAGAACAAGGAATAACTTTTCATATCGCATATATGTAATGCTTCACAATTGCAATTAAAGGATTAGAAATGTACACGGAAATTAAAGTGTCTTTTTTTAACTGCAATCTTTTCAGTCAGGTCTATTTTATAGTTTAATTTTTCAGAAACATAAGGCAGATGTTTAAAACAACAAATTGTATGCTGTCATCAAGGATCTCGTTACTACTTTCCAGTCACTTTCTCAATCACAAACGGATCTCTCCAAATCCATTACCAGCAACACTTTCCTGAAAATTCCATTCAAAATTTTCTGTGGTTTTGCAGCATGACTGTGGGAATCTGAATATCGGATTTTGAATACAAATGATTCCTCATTACAGTAGAGACAGATTAGCCATTAAAGTGGCCACTGAAAAACACCTAACTACTACTCACTGAAAAAGAAATCCTAACATCTGCTGCCTGGAAGTCATGACTCCTGACATCTTTTTTTGCCAGATATTGACGTGGCTTTGATTATGCGTCAGAAGTTATTGAACATTTCTTTGCAACCTGCTCACCGCCTTCCGAGTGAAAGGAAAGCACAAGATAATGGGACAAGTTAATTCTGATTCTGGGTATATAATCAGGCTTCATTGCATAAAGCAAGTTTGAGATCATCTGTGCTTTCCTGTGGCCTTTTGGGACCTTGCAACATACTAACAGCACGTCTAAAAAAGGGCAGCAGGAGAAGAGCAGCAGTATAACTGTGTCAAATCTCATGCACTGCTAAGTGGATGCTGGTTTGACAGCACTTAGGCTTGGGAAATAAATTAAAAAGTAAGTAAATATTGAAGACCCTGTCAGGACCGAGTTAGAGATCTCTGCTCACGCTAGAAAGCCGGTGAAGCTCCCTGCACACAGCAGAGCTGCAAGTGTAGACACCCATAAAATGCAAGAGCAAGGAGCAGATTGCTCTGGTAGAACTAACGCACAGGTCAGCACCCTCACTTGGTTTTGGCATCCAAGAAAAACTCTTGTCCGTTTTGCACAAAACTAACCTTCCCTTTAGAAACCGCCTTTTTTAAAGCTACTGCCACTGCATGAAAAGCACAAGAGCTCTGCCACTGGGCTTTGAGGGTTACTGACAAAATGGTGCCGTGTTACAGGAGCATCTTTAGCAAGCATTACAAATTCCTATCAGTTTAAAACGCAAGTTTGAAGAAGAAATAGGAGTTACATGACAGAAATGTGTGAGAGAAACTGTCATTAGATGCAATATAACAGACATCACTTTTCATGTCCTTTACTGAGGGCTTTTAAAAACAAGCCATGTCTCCTACGGCCAGCTCACCTTCATTTAACAAAAAAAGTAATCCCACTGAATATATAGAATCCAACAAGATATGTGCTCTGGTGAGCACACAGGAAAGAACTGAGACATGTCCCATTTCTGCAGAATAGACTTGCAGTGGCTCCCCAGCAAGAACACTTGTGCAGGAAGAGGCAAGATTTAATGGGGGAAGAATATCAATTTGCAAAGCATTAGGATTTGTTTTTTGCCTGTCAATCAGCTAAAACAGGAAAATCATTTTACTTCCTAGAGCACAGAAATTAATCTCTCTTTTTGGTTTGCAGAAATAAAATTAAACATGGGACATATGTCTGGTTATTAGCAAATATATTCTTGTTTGCACATTGTAAAAGATCCGCAAGGCATTCACCATCTCTTAAATTAAAAGTACAGTTCACAGCTAAATCAAACACTAAATCCAAATCTCTGTGCATCTTTCAGTCAAGAAAAGTTACTGTGCATGAGTGCAAAGTTGCCTCCCTGTCCAATTTCTTTCCTGTTTTTACTGTCATCCACCAGGCTTCTTACAGTTGCAGAGTTTAAGTTTTACTTTTTCACCAGCCCACATTTGATTACTTCTGCATGTGAATCCTTTGAGCAACCACTGAGACCAGAGGCAGATTAAAAAAATCCTTATCTTAAGCATCTCCGTCAATGCTGTAGTTTTCCACATCGTACAATGAGCAAAGCCTTCCTTTGTT